TTTGTAGGTGGTCTGTTACTCAACACCAGAGAGTCATCAGTTTTATGTTCAAGTTGACATTAAAAGATATTACTGGGTCTGAAGTTCCTTTATTTTAGTGTGGGTTCCATACTTGTTGAGAGTTTTCTCATCATTTAATTTTTTCAAAATAATATATTTGGCAACAGAAAGGCATGTTACATATAAAAAGGTTTTTTAAAAAATTAGAAGTCCTAATTTAAAACAGTCCAGCTTCACATACCCCTTGTAATGACTGAGACTGCTTTCTTGACCATTGTCCTCCTGTCCAGCAGAGAAGAGTAGTCACCACCCAGCCCAGGGAGGGGCACAGCCTCTGTTCAGCCTCCTCTCCATTCAGGAGGCTTCAGCCCAGGCCACAGTCTCTGTAGAAGGTGGGAAGGGGAAGGTGTTTTTATAATTTTTTATTTTTATTTTTTTATTTAAAGATTTTTATTTATTTGTCAGAGAGAGAGAGCGAGAGAGGGAACACAAGCAGGGGAATGGGAGAGGGAGAAGCAGGCTGTCTGCTGAGCAGGGAGCCCGATGTGGGGCTCAGTCTCAGGACCTGGGATCATGACCTGAGTGGAAGGCAGACGCTTAACTGACTGAGCGACCCAGGTGCCCCAGTATAATTTTTTAGGTTCAGGTTAGTTACAAGACCATAGTAGACTTCCTTGATTTTGGGGGGTTCACCTCTAATAGCACAGCTGAAACATAGACTACTGTTAGAGAAGATTTCCATTTTCTCTTTGTTCTCTTGTCCTGCAGTGACTGTCGTATCATTCCTGTTGACTATGTTTTCAGTCTGCAGTTTCCCTTTGAATCATTCTGAAAGCCCCATTGAAAATGAAAACACCCCTTCTCCCCAACTTCCTGTGAATTCAGATTTAACACATTTGGTGTGTGGGATCTATGCTCTTACCGTGTGTTGCCGGTGACTCTGATGCAGGTCTTCCATGACATTTGTTCAAGGAAATCGAGATTGACAGTTCTGTGCTTAATGGAGAAGTTTTACTAAAATCTAATTTGACAAAATTCTGGTTGGATATTACTCATTATGTAGACAGTGTTTCAAGTAGACATTTGTTTCAAAAATAGTGACTTAATTTACCATAACTTTCTTCGATTAAGAAATCTGGCAAAACACAGATTCTATAACTCCAACCACTTTGTGGAAAAAATGTTTGCATGAAGTTGTTCAGTACACAGATTGCGGAAGGAGGAGTTTAACGCTCTTGTAATGCTTCGGTGAAAGCCTGAAGGATAACTGAGAAGTCCATTTTTATCAAATTTAATGGGTTTCTAAATCCTTATCTGCTTACCAAACAAAACGTTAATTAGAACAGTAATTGAGTAACCAGCTGTCTCTTGCGTTCATTCTAAGAATTTGTACAAAATTGCTGTGGAGCTCATGTAAGGTCATTCACTGCTTTTTGAGTTGCTAAATAATAACTTTGCTACAGGCTTCTAAAAATCCAGGTATTAAGGGAGTCTACAGAAAGATAAAAATTGATAAGAGATTTATAGTAGTTAGTCTGATACTCTGTCTCTGGTGGATTAAGGTGAAAAAATCCTTCAGCACTGCAGACGGGAGAAAATCCTCCCTCTTAGATTTCTTCCTGAATCAGCTTATGCTTGCCTAGTCTTGTAGCAGAACAGAAAAAGCCTTTGGAGCTAGGTATGCTGGCACAGATTTTTCTGGGGAAACAAAACACTACAAAATCAGGCTTATAGCTTTATTTAAGCAACACAGTACATCATGACAAGTATGATATATCCCAGGAATGCAAGGATGATTTATTCAGCATCAGAAAATGTGATAATACAAACCGAGGGTTGCCAGGGGTAAGGGGGGATAGGAAGAGGGTGGTTGGGTTATTGACACTGGGGAGGGTATGTGCTATGGTGAGTGCTGTGAAGTGTGTAAACCTGGCGATTCACAGACCTGTACCCCTGGGGCTAATAATACATTATATGTTAATAAAAAATAAAAAAGAAAGAAAGAAAGAAAATATGAATAATATATTAAGAAATTGAGATATAAGCCATGTGATTATTTTAACACATGTAGAAAGAACATTAGATTAAGCTTTAATAATCCTTTATGACTAAAGCTTTTTCTCCCCTCAAACTGGGGAACTTACCAAACCTTAGGCCAATAAGTCATTTATTCCAAAACCTATAGCAAGCCTCATACCTAAGAGGGAAACTTTAGAAGCCTCCCTATTATTGTCAGTAAGAAGACAGAGTATGCCTATTAGCATTACCTTTGTTAAGTACAGCCTGAATTCTTAGCCAGTAGTGTAATGAGATAGGAAAAAGAAAAGAAAAATAGATTGTAAGGGAGAGGTAAAATATCTTTTTTTTCCCCAGGTGATATTAACACATACATAGACAATACAGCACAAGAAATTAAAGTAGTCAGTACAGTTGCTGCATATAAAAATCATTGGGTTCTGTACACCATGATAACCCTCTAGTAAATATGCTTCCCTTCCCAGTAGTATTAATTTGTAATATATCTCAGAGTGAGCACAACCGAAGAATATACAACATGGAGAAAATTAAAGAATATTATTGAAAAGACATAGAAAGATTGTACTATCTTTAACAATAGGGTATCTTGATTTTTAAAGATATTTTTCTCTAAATTAATTCATTGTTTATCCAGTCAAAATCCTAATAATATTAGGATTTTTTTTTTTTTTTTAAGATTTTATTTATTTGACAGAGAGAGACAGAGGGAACACAAGTGGAGTGGGAGAGGGAGAAGCACACTCCCCACGGAGCAGGGCTCAATCCCAGGACCCTGACCTGAGCCAAAGGCAGATGCTTAATGACTGAGCCACCCAGATTCCCCATAGTATTGGGTTTTTATTAATTTGACAAGATGAACCCAAAATTTATAAAGAAATCCAAAGGCCCGGGCGCCTGGGTGGCCCAGTGGTTTAAAGCCTCTGCCTTCGGCTCAGGGCATGATCCCAGGGTCCTGGCAGGGAGCCTGCTTCCCTTCCTCTCTCTCTGCCTGCCTCTCTGCCTACTTGTGATCTCTGTCAAACAAATAAATAAAATATTAAAAAAAAAAAAGAAAAGAAATCCAAAGGCCCATGATGAGCTAAGACAGCCTTGAAAAGCAAGGTGTAGGGCTCGGACACAGATACTGATGCCAAACTGATGGACATTAAGGTACTCTAGTCCGAATACAGAGAGATGTATGAAAAGATCAGTGGAACAGGATAGAGAAGCCAGTAACAGTCTCACACATATATAGAAACATGATAGGTATTGGAGGCAGCATTATGAAGTAGTAGAAGAAGATGGAATGATCTATAAATGGTGCTTTGATCTTTAATTGATAATCATATGGAAAATCAAACTGTATTTCTAACTTCATACCATCCCCTGAAATAAATTCAGGTAAATTTAATTTGAAAAACAAATCTTAAAAATTCACCAGAAAATATAAGAAGGAATGGAATACTTAGCAGTACTTGAAAATTAAGAGAAGTTTATCTGTCTTCATTTATAAATCTTATAACACTCAGTGCAAAAGCAAGTTATAGAAGGATAGGTGTAATAAAGTACCACTTGGGGCACCTGGGTGGCTCAGTGGGTTAAAGTCTCTGCCTTCGCTCAAGTCATGATCTGAGAGTCCTGGGATTGAGCCCCGACATCGGGCTCTCTGCTCAGCAGGGAGCCTGCTTCCTCCTCTCTCTCTGCCTGCTTCTCTGCCTACTTGTGATCTCTGTCTGTCAAATAAATAAATAAAATCTTCAAAAAAAAAAATAAAGTACCACTTAACGTAAAATTTAAGACATGAAATGAAACAACATGTTGTATAAAGGTGCTAAAGTATATTATGAAGTATAAAAACGTATGTGGTAATAACATACACCAAATTAGAGATGGCATTTACTTTTTCAGGTGGTAGAGAGATGAATGTGACTGAGGAAGGATGTATACAGTGTTTTATTATTTATTTAATGTAGTGTTTTACTGGTTTTTTAGATAAAAGTGTTCTAAGGCAACATGTCACAGATGTTAACATCAGGTGAATATCCAATAATAAAGAAGTGGTTGAATAAACTATGGCTTTTACATACTATGAAATATTTTTCAGCCATTAAAAACAATTAGTTGTAGATAGGTCACTTTGTGTGGAGTAATTTCCAAGACTTACTGCTTATGAAGAAGGTAAGATGCGGAAAAATTTGTGTGAGGTCATCCCATTTGTATAAAACAAGGATGTGTATGAGTATGTATGTATATGATACGTGCTTATGTACGAACATACGAACATGAATAAAAAAAAGGATTCATTCTGGACCGTTAACATGGGTTGGGAGTGAGGTGATAGGAAAAGAGAGGGGGCAGCGGGAATGGGGATCCAAGCGAAACAGAAAATGAGAGAGAAAACGTACTACCCAGCATGGATGATATGGTTTGTTTATGTATTTTACATAATCTTACCACAAACGTGCGCGCGCGCGCGCACACACACACACTCTCTCTCTCTCTCTCACGCATGCCATTTTAAAGACACCACAGAACTGCTTTAAATAGAGAGTGAGAGTTGACCTACGGGGAATTTACTGCATTTGAATGGGAACTGTGGTAGAACTGGACTTAGCAAAAAGATGCCATTTCAGAGAAAGATGTATTTTATTGGTAGAGTATTTAAACAAATGATGCAATTACATTAAAATGTTGCCTTTCCAGTTTTCTCCCTTTTGTATTTATCAAAGTAATCGACCGTAATTCCAGTGAGTTCTTGATAATCACAGTGTACTTCTTGGTATAAAGTACCAGTGGTAAAGGTTGTAATTACATTTTATGAAATGGGGCCTTTTGACAGGGAAACTTTAGATCTTTTCTCTCTGTTTTTTCAACTTGGGGGAGAATAAAGGATGACTTTCTCTTTTTGGTCAGGCCAAGGCCTAAATATAGAGAGTTCAAGATTATGAATAATTATCTTTGAAATTTTCATTGTTTTCTTTCAGTGTACGGGATGATAGAATTCGAGTAGAAAGGATGGATAACATGTATTTTGAATACAGCCATGCTTTCCAGGCGGTTACAGAGTTTTATGCAAAAGATGCACTTGACCTCCAAGGTAAATATTTTCTATGTGTTAGCCTTAATGTCCTCGAATTTAACTGAGTTGAGATTTGGATAAAGGTACAAGTTTGACTTTGAATTTAATGAAAACTAGGCAGTTACCAATAAATAACTGGCCCAAGTGGAGGCAAGAGTTCACTTTTCTTGCACTCATCAAAAACACCCCTGCAGCTTTTTTGACATATTCATTGGAGTGTAAGGAGTTACTGGCCAACCCTCCTTTTTGCTTCTCTTAAAAAGTGGCCCGTCATTTTCCTTGGAATTTTGTAGAGTATTTGGATAAATTTCCTGGATAAAGGCTAGTATTTCGTTAGGTGGCTCGCCGCAATTTAAATACCAGAACATTAATGACAGGGTAGTAATATGTTAAGTAACCAGTATTTGTTAACTTGGTCTGTGCCCCTCCTTCCTGCTAGTCCAGCTTATTCTGTTAAGGTTCATTTTTATATCTTATCCCATGCTGCAAGGCTTTCACCATTAGACGGTAAATGGATCAGTCTCCCCTTGGCTCCCCCACAGACACCAATGTCCTGTTAGCATTTCTCTTGCCATCCCTTTTAATCTCATGGTGTCAAACTGAATTGAGTATCAGAGAGGCTAACCCATTCTGACACAGTCTGCGATGTCACCAAGGGATTGTTGTCTTATGCTCAGGTAAGGACAAGACTACCATAAGCCACTCTTGACATCATATTCACTTAGGAGTCTGTGAGATAGGAAACCAGCTTGCCTTTTTCCTCTTAGTAGGAATAGCCCTCCACAGGGTTTGCAGCCCCATAGAGCCATTGAGAGCCCATCCCCAAGCCCTGCCCCCTGTCAAGTGACAGTTCAGCTGCAAAGACAGATACTCTTCAGGGTCTACCCAGACATAGAAGCCTCGTGCCACGCCAACTTCAGAGTCCATGTACACAGAGTAGGTGAACATTTCTAGAATCAGGTGTTTATAGTACTTCTTAGTTTAGATGCGATTTGCTGGTTTCAGGTCATTCTTACCATGTACAATGTTACGTTATAATACATTGGCACTTCATTTTTATCAGGTTTCCTGGGGAATGGAGCTAAAAAGTTAAAGGTAAACTTCTCAAAAGGGGGAAGAGTTTTGTTAATTCTTTCTTCACACCTTGGTTTTATAAAAAGCCACAATAGAAATTAATGTATGTGGTATTACTGATGTGTAGAGGATATTTTGTAAGTTTTTCTTTTATTTATGAAAGTAATAAATGACTATTGCAAAAAAAGGTCCAAACATAGTTTTGCATAAAGGAAAAAAAGTCCCTCCCCCCAAATCTTTAAGGATTTTTATAGGCACAAATCCATTTGGATAAATATATATATATATATATATATATATATATATATATATATATATATAAAAAATTCTGTATATTTCATATAAATTGGGTTTATCTTTCAACTAATTTTTATTGACTGCCTATTATGTGAGGCATCGTGCGTACAATAAAGAATAAAAAAGAATAAAAGAATAAAAAAGATAAAAATTCCTGCCCTTCTGGAGTTCACATTCTAAGGGGAGGATATATACAATAAAATAAGTTAAGTGTGTTTGAAAGTGGTATTAGGAAGAAAATAAGTCAGGGAAAAGGGAGAACCTTTGAATAGTGTGGTGAAGTAAGGCCTCACTGTGAAAATGGCCCTTGAGTGGAGATTAGAACGAAGACTGAAGGAGTGTAGGGGTCAAGCCATACACACAGCTGAAGGAACAGTGTTTTAGGCAGAGACACCAGTAAGTACAACATATCTACATGCCTGGTAGGTTTAAGAAGTGAAAGGAGCCTGGGTGCTAGAACAAAGTAAGGCAGAGACTCTGAGGAGGTGAGCTAAGAGATACAGGGGAGGTGGAAGCCAGGTTGTAGGGCCATAAGACTCCTGTCAGGACGTGAGCTGTTTCTCTCAGTGAGTTAGGGATGTTGGAGTATTTTGATAAGCAAAGTAGTCTAATGGTCTCGAGTACGTTTTGAAAAGGATTCTTTCAGCTGCTCTGTTGAGAATATCCTGTAGCGCACAGGGATAAAGCTGAGAGAGCAGATGGTAAGCAATATTCCTGCTGAGAGATAAGAATGATTGTACAACTTTTTTTCACCCTCACTCAGCAGTATATTATAGATATTTTTCTGTGTCTGTACAGATAGCTCTAAGTCATTGTTACTAGTAGTGCATAGTAATCTGGACTTAGCAAAATTTATTAAACTCTTACGCTCCTGATGTTCAGTTAGGTTGTGGATTTTACTATTACAGGAGATGTTTCGGCTCAGTTCCTTGTACACACATCTTTGACATGCATTTGAGAGTATTTCTGGATCAGAGGGGATAGGTTTTTATATTTTGAAGAAATTGCTCTCTTGCTTTCCAGAAAATGTCTATTTCACAATCAGAAAAATGCCCATTTTTTCATGACTTAGATACCTGTAATCTTCAATGTTTTCCCAAAAGGCAATTTTAGGAGGTATTGTCTAAATTATTATTTCAATAACCACAAACTAAACTTCATTTAACTTAAAGTTCATTTTTCATAATGGTGAGCAATAACTTTAATGAAACTATATATTCTGTTTTTTAGCTTCTCAAACTTTTTCTGGCATCATTAATTTGGAGAAGCCTGTGATTTGCTCTTTGGCTGCCATAATAAGATACCTCAAAGAATTTAACTTGGAAAAGGTGCTTTCCAAGCCCAAGTAAGTGATTTCTCAAAAAATAAAAAAAAAGGGGGGTAGAGTTATATTAAAAGCATTTCCTTTAAAAAAAAATTCTTGTTTTTCTTTTGGCTTGAAGTTCACATGCATTCATTTAGAAATAAGAGCATCTGAGAAATTTGACATTACTACCTTTTCCTTTGATTATTGGCGGATAAAAAGTCATCTTCTGTTTTTACTGTGTGTCAACATTAAACCATAAGTCTGAATATAATATGTCCAGCCTTAGAGTGTAATTCATTCTCTCCATAATTCAGTCTATGAAACCATTTCTTAAATTGAGTTTGGTAAGTACTGTACTCAGACAAGTTCACCCACTATTGATAGAAAATCCTTTAAAAAAAAAAAATTATTTATTTTAGAGAGACCGCAAGCAGTGGGAAGGGGCAGTGGGAGAAGGAGAGAGAAAATAGTGAATCCTCAAGCAGATTCCTGATGAGCAGGACATGGGGCTTGATTCCAGGACCCCGAGATTATGTCCTGAGCTGAAATCAAGAGTCGGCCACTTAACCTGACTGAGCCACCCAGGTGCCCCTATAGAATATTCTATTTGGGAGCAAGAATGAACTGCGTGGTGCTATCGGTGAAAAATATTAATGTAAAAATATTTATAGAATCCTTAAGAATTCTGTCAATTTGTATTCACATGGCTATTTAATATACAAAATACTAGAGCAGAGTTAATTGACAAGTAGTATTAAATGGATTAGGAAGTGGTATTAGAAAGCAGTCATAAAACTTCACTGCCTTTCTTATTCCTGGTTTCAGTTCTTATTTCATAGACCATAAATTTGGGGATGAAGAAGATAGCTACTACCATGGCTTTTTAAAAGAGTGATTAACTTTGTGGAGCTCAGAGATTTAAAACTCACAGTTGCCGTTCTAGGAAGATGTTAGTTTAAAAACCAGTGGAATAATAAAAGGTAGTGGGAGAATTTTCTTGCCTTTCTGTATTTCACCTTCAGCCCCTTTGTTTTGGCTCTGAAGAATTAACCTTTATCATTTTGATCCTTGATAAGTAAGCTGCTTCCTGTTCTGCAGAGGGGAGTGGACATATAGGCACTATCTCACTAAAATGGTTGAATATGAATTGGGGTACAAAAAAGTGGTACTGGAATGGAGTTGTTGGGGGCGGTGCAAGAAAGGCACGTCCCTTGGGAATCTTTTTGTAATGTCTTTTTTGGTGTGCCTAGTATTTAGGATAGAACAGAATACCAGTTATCTGGAAGCAGTTTTGTCCTGTTTAAAATTAGTCTAAATGTCTGTCATCCGGAGAGTGGACTTACTGTGGTATGTTCATGCAGTCTAAGGTTAAATAGCAATGAAAATAAATGGACTGGAGTTACATGTATCAATATTTTAAAAATTATGTTAACATTATAGTGAGCCAGAAATCAAATAACTGAAGAACACACAGTACTCGCCATTATATGAAGTTAGAAACGTGTAAAAAAAGTCACTATTTAAGTAGTGGTTAGGAACATTGCGTAAGTATACATGTCTATATAGGAAAGATACGACTTGATGTTTTATTTTTTATCCTGGGTACTATATTAGTCTATATATGTTTTGGTATGACTGAAATATTTTATTAAAAAGAGTATCAGCTGGTATTATACTTCATTGGGTTGCACTTCAGGCTCCAACAATAGGATACTTTTTGCAGAAATTGATCCATATGATTGACTGTGTTGGATCCCATAGGAAAGGATGGCAAACTACTTACTGTTTGACTTCTTCGTGATAGGGAGCCCCTCTGAGTGAAATGGAATTGGTGACTAATAGCTTGCCCATTAAGACTTGTCTCTGTTACTGTATCACCAAGGAATGAGTATTAATTTTGGAATAGAAAAACTTTGTAAAAAAAATCAGGCCCTGATATATATAGAAGTAGATGAATTTGGGTCTGAAAAAATTATTATATCCTTATATTCAAAGTAAAAATAATACTGAATAGAAAAACATGTTTTTTATACTGAAATTAAACTAGTTTACTTTTAAATTACCTAACTTGATAAATTACACGAAGCTGAACTTTTCTCATTTTGTATTTGGTGGTGGTGGTGGTGGTGGGCAGTAGTCAGGGAACTGAATCTGCTGATGACTTAGTATGTGTCTAATCTGCTGGTCGGGTGATCCCCTGTTCTCATTGCCATAGAACCAAAGACAAAGATGGAGATCCATAGTAAAGGTGCTCATATGGTATAAATTTCTATCACCCAGCATGTATCAAGCACCAAGCAGGGAGTCAGTAAATACAGGATTAATGGAAGAAAAGGAGAGAAGGAAGAAATTCTTTTATCCTGTGAGCATTGACTTGATTGGAAATTGTCAAACTGTCCCTGGGAGCCAAGATTAATGAATAAAGGTGGTGATCAGACTGGTACAATTTTTTTGCTTAAAATGTGAGTGATGATTTTATACAGATGGGATGTGATACGACTTTGGAGATAATTCCAAAAGAGTAATTCCACAGTTACATTTTGGAAAAAGAATGTTGCTGCTCTGAGTGGTTACTTTGGAAAATAAGAATGTTCTTGTATACTTAGAATTCAGTTATATTACCTTAAAAGTTCAGCAGCATAAGGTATAGTTGGATTTACTTTAAGAGCTGTTAATGGGGAAAAATTGAGTTGCGTCGTCTGGCAAATGCTTTCACAAAAACTGTTGTACATTTCATAAAAAGTCTTGATACGCATTTACTTAAAGGTGTTTGTGCCTTTATGGTAGAATTTCAGGTTATTTGAGAAAATATGTATTTTAGGTATTCTTAAAAATGGGTTAAGTGAGGTTTTATTAGTTAGGCCAGATTTTGAGGTTCCAAGTTTGTCTTGAGAGTTTAAGTAGGTTTGTTCCAGAGCGAAATAGTATAATAGAATAAATAGGATGTGAGGGATATTAGTCATCATGAAATTATTAGCCTGATTCCCAAATTTATGAAGTTTTAAAGGAATTGGTGTTTTTGTTAGTGTTGAAAATGAGCACTTTTGTCATTTCAGAGGACTTTTTAAGATTGGTGTGGTCAGAACTTCACATAGGTTTTGGAAATTTAGGAAAGAATGACAAAACCTACCCAAGATGAACTGCAAGAGCTTTTTCTTAGAGAACTTATTAGAATGATAACGTAGGATGTTTACTTTTACTAGTGAAAGTGAATTTTGTAATTATTTTAATGACCTCTAATGGGTAGAGACCAGAGATGCAGCTGAATATCCTAAAATTCACAGAATATCCCTTTACAAAAAATAATTATTTAGCCCCAAATTCAGTAGTCCAAAATTACATAAAGACACGACAAGAGAAGAAACTACAGACTAATGTGAATATGGACATAAAAATCCTCAAAAAATACAAGCAAATGGAGTCCAACAATATAAAGGATTATACATCATGATTTGGGGATTTATTCTAAGACCATAGGTTTGTTTTAATGAATTTTAAGTATTTAGCGTAATATACTGTATAATGAGAGATTAAAAACTACAGGAGCATCTCAACAGACCGTGAAAGCTCCCTTTCGTGATAAAAACATCCAACAAACTAGAGCTAGAAAGGAATGTCCTTATTCTAATAATGGCCATTAGTGAAAACCTCAGACGCTAACATCATATTTAATGGGGGAAAGAATGAATGCTTCTCCTCTAAAAACAGGAACAAGCAGTGTTTTCCCACTTCTGTTGTATATTGTCCTAGAAAGTCTAGTCAGGGTAATTAGGCAAAAAAATGAAGTGAAAGGCACCCATATTGTAAAGGAAGAAGTAAAATTTTGCTGTTGCAGTTAACATGAAATTATGTGTATAAATCCTAAAGAATCCAGGAAAAAATGATTAAAGCATATAAAATGAGTTTATGAGGTTGCAAGATATGAGATCAATATACCAAAATGAAAATTGACTGTGTATCTATAACCTTGCAATGAAGAATCCAAAAATGAAAATAAGAAAATAATTTCATTTACAGTAGCATCAAAAAGAATAAAATACTTAATGCATTTAATTAAAGAAATACAAAACCTGTATTCTGAAAGCTGTAGAACACTGTTGAAAGAAAATAACAGAAGACCTGAATAAGTGGAAAGGCATCCTAGGTTTGTGGATCAGCAGACTTGATTTTACTTAGATGGCAATATTCCCCAATTTGATCTACAGATTCAGTGTAATTGTACCAAAACCCTAGCTAGTTTTTTTTGCAGAAATCGGCAAACTGATCCTAAAATTTTATGAAAATTCAAGCGCCAAAAAAGAGCTGTAACAACTTTGAAAAAGAATAACAGAATCTGAAGATTCACATTTCTGTTTGAAAACTTGTTGCAAGGCAACAGTAGCCAAGATAGTGTGGCACTGGCATAAAGACAGACATACAGATCAGTGAAATACAGCTGAGAGTCCAGAAATAAAGTATACACGTATTGTCAATTGATTTCCAGCAAGGGTGTTAAAGCATTCAATGGAGGAAAGAATAGTTTTTTGTTTTTTGTTTTTCCCCAATAAAAGGCCCTGTGTGTACCCTGGTTATTGTTTGACCTAGTGTTTTCTTGTGGTTCTTTCCCTGACCTCAAGGGTAACTGGTTATCTATGCAAAAGAGTGAGTTTTGTATTACCTTCCCTCATGCCATAATAAAAAATAACTCAAAGTGGACCAAAGACCTATATGTAAGAGCTGAAACTATTAAGCTCTTAGAAGAAAACATAGGTGTAAAAATTTTCATGACTTTGGATTTGGCAATAGTTTCTTAGCTGTGATGCCAAAAGCGTAAGTGGCAAAAGAAAAAATAGAAAATATTGGACTTCACAATAAGAAACTTGCTCTTCAAAGCCTACTGTCAAGAGAATGAAAGAACCCACTGAATGGGAGAAAAACTTTGTATAGAGACCTATGTCCACTCTTATAGTTCTGCATATATTAAGACAGATATTAAAAAAAGACAGATAACCCAATTAAAAATGGGCAAAGAATCTGAATAGGCATTTCTCCAAAGAACA